TAAAATTGACCTGTGATGCTTGGGTACTTGGACAGGGTTCATTCAGAACAAGTTTAAATACACTCTTTCATATATAAAAGTTTATGCAGATCTCTCTAGTCTCTTAATTTAGTTCATTATGTCTTGGCTGAACTAGAACAGGCTGCTTCGTTACAGCAGGCTCTCTTCATCCTGAGACTCTGGTGAAGTACTAGAATGAACTGCTGGAAAGGAACACAGCTCTTCCTTCCCAACTACACTCTCTTCCCTTGCACAGAAGTCCACAGAAGCCTGGCTCCCTCCCCTCCCTCCCCACACTAACCCCCTCGCCCTCTCATGCACACACACACACACACACACACACCCACCCACCCACCACTGTTATACCATTTCCTAATACAAATCTTGCTCTTGCCCTCCTTTTCAAGAGATTAGTATAGTAAGCAGGCAGACGAAATCAGCTTTTGCTCGCTACACTAAAAGCAATGCAGGCCAAACAGGATCTGGCAAAGCACCAAGTATTCAAAGCTTTTCACCAAAAACCCATGAGGCATGCCAGGTACCAATTCTAGATCAAGGGATATTATTTTGATTTACAAAAAAAAGTCTCACAGGCCCAATTCTCCTTTCAAAACAGGGACCATTTTAAGTTAACTGATGAAAGCAATAGAGCTATACTGCTATACAGCAGAGGTTCAGGCCTATAAATAACTAGAGCAGAATATTTGTATTTCCCTTGAGCTGTCCCTTTGCCAAGCCACACACATACGTAGCTCAAGTGTTCCCTCACACTTCCACTTACCCAGTCTTCCAATCAGAGAGGAGCAATACAAGTTAATTCCCTCTCATTTCTCCATCACTACCTGACAGCAAGGTGCTCCCAAGTGCGCATGATATTGCAGGAGTGGCCTGACAGTAACATACCTGCTGTCCAAGACTGCACTGGAAATGCAAAACTGATTCACTGCCTAGTGTCACACACACTTCTAGAATGGCTGCTCCATGTTATTCCTTAATTTGAATTTATGCTAAGCAATATCAGAATCACTTAATTATTAAAGAACTCCAAGTTCTCTTTAAATGCCAACTGAAGGCTGAGAGGTCTTGCGGCTTGAGGGCCAAACAGATGACATCTCCATTTGGAACAGAGTACTACCCTTTAAATACTGCAAGAAGATGTTCATAGTGTTAGCATGCAGGATATTCAAGATTTTGGAAATGTTTCCCAAACGTTTTCCTAAAAGATTTACTACATAGGCATTTCGGCTAGGGCCAGACATTCAAAAAGCCAGAGCATGAATTGATTCAACCTTTGTAGGTTAGTCTAACCTGTCCAGGTTGAACCAGTTTGTCACAGCGCAGACATTCCCTCTGAACTGAGGCACTGTGGGTACATGCCTGAAGTTGCTCAGGCCAGGAGCCGGGGGGCATGAGACTGCACCCTTGGCTGCAGGGAAGCTGGGCTGGGGAGCCGTGGCCAGCCCAGACCTAACTGGCCAGAGAGAGGTTTAATTCCCCACTCAGCGTCCCACTGGCAGGGACCTGAGCCGGGTCTGCTGGGCGCTCCCCCCTCGCTGCTGCAGCGGTGGGCCAGTGTGGTCCTGGAGGCAGAGGGGGCAGGGAGGGGGGGGTTATTCTCCCTTCTACCCCCACTGCCCCTGGGAAACTGCAGCCAGGTCTGCCCACCCCGCCCCTCACTGCCTTGACTGCCGCTGCTCACTCTGTGCTCGGGGCAAGTGGTGGAAAAAGCCCCCTCCACCAGATGCCACAGGGAGGGGGGCAGGAGAGGGCTTATCCTGCCACTTGCCCTGAGCAGAGACTGAGCGGCGGCAGCAACCAGGCTAGGCAGACCCTGCTACGGTGCCCCAGGGCCAGAGGGGGGAATAACCCCATTCTCTGTGCCCCCCAAGGGGTGCTGCTGGTGGCATGTGGCCTGCCCCACCTAGCCACTGAAGCGGTGAGGGGAAAACGACCATGACGGAGGCAGCAGCCTATCACGGTTTCCCAAACTGCGACCCCCTTCCTGGTGGAGGGGGAAGGGGGAGCCACAGTGCATTGCGGGGAAACTGCTACGGACCACAGCAGCGGCAGGGGTCAGGGCAGGCTGACCTGGGTGTGGTCCCCCAGGGGTAGTGGGGGTAGAGGGGAGAATAACCCCCCTCCCTGCCCCCTCTACCTCAGGGGCCACACTGGCCTGCCACTGCAACAGCGAGGGGGGAGCACCCAGCAGACTCAGCTCAGGTTCCTGCCAGTGGGACAGGGAGGGGGGAATTAAACTTCTCTGGCCAAACCCACACCCCTGCCTGTCCCTTCTCCAGCTGGAGAGCAGAGGGGCGGGGCCAGCCCTGCTCCACTGGAGCACAGAGCACAGCCCACAGAGCATGCCCGGAGGCTGGGGGACTCTGGTTTACATTGGTGATGCGTATGGGGTGCATGCAGGTGCACATGCACCCCCTGAGATTGGCAGTGCACCCCCTGACAGAAGCGCTGCTGACGCTGCCGATGGTGCCTGCAGGTGGTTGCTGCTACCCACCCCCCCCCTCGGCACTGCCAGTGGCATCTGCAGGTGGTCACTGACCAGTGGCTGCCCCTGCTCTCATCGCCGCTGTGGCTGCCTGTGGGAGCTCCCTGATCACTGGTTGGCACTCGTCCCCCCGCCTGTCGCCACCACGGCCGCCTGCAGAAGCTCCCCACTCACCACTGCCACACCCTCACCGCCGCCATGCCCCTGCCACCATGCCCTGCCAGCCTTCAGGGGCACATGTCATTCATGCTGATTTAAGTTAAACCACGAAGGGGTCTGGGACAGACATTGCACAAACCGGTTTGAGTTAAATCAGTTAAGTCTGATACCACATTCAACCAGGTTTATCTCAAACCAGTTTCAGCCATTTTGAAACTGGTTTATGTGCACTGAATGTCTGTTCTGTTACAAGTTTAAACCAGTTTCTGATCACTTAAACCGGTTTATGTGCAATGCCTATCCCTAGCCTTGGTCAAAGGCTTGCCCATAACACAAATCCTACCTGTCATAATGGTGGCCCCATCAAAAAAGTCTTAACTACCAGAGTTAGTCCTTTCCTGACCACCCATATCAAATTATGCACAAAGGAGAAGACAGACACTTGAATAACAGTTTAGCAACCAAACTGATGGAAGCAAGCCACCTTCTTCCACAGCCCACCTTCACAGCTTTATGTATGCTGAGGGCCACATCTCTCCTTTTGGATTTTTAAATTTACATATAACTGCCAAAGGAATGGCAAAATAGATCTCCAAGCTGCAAGAAGAGGTGTCCAAATGCTGGTTCATTCTTTGCTTTTTACAACTGCTATATTTATAGTCCTGTTCAGGGAAATGGTGCTTTAGAAAAAGACAAAAGGACAAAGATCCTCCAACCATACGTGATTAATGTATATATGACATAATACACCTGAACAACACTGCGGGGGGGGAGGAAGGGGTGGAGCAGACATTAAGGGGCGGAGATCAGGCTAGAAAGCCTTCCAGAAAAACATGACTAAAAAGAAAGAGTTTTTCCACAAAGTCACAGGTTAGTCATTTGATGAAAATAGTCACAGTTGACTGCCAAGAAATCTCTTTCAGAGCAAAGGGGATTTTTGGCTGAACTACTTGGTGAGAGACCTGACACAGTAATTCTCTCTCTCAACTCCAGGTGAGAGTCAGTAAACTGCAGAGAAGCTTGACCTCACTGCACAGGCCAACTTTAGATCTGGGTTCTGAAAATCCATGAAGGATCTTTATGCTTGAGGTATGCTGTTGCTGAAGTGCTAAAATTTGGCCAATGGAACTAGGAGCCATACACACTTTCAGTCATACATGCATACTTTCAGTCCAGCCTCCATTCAGGAGAGACAAAAAGTTTCTCTGAATTCGTGGACTCAGCCGTAGCAGAATTCCAGTGTGATGAACAAAAAGCGTTGCCTTTGGAAGCCAGAGGTTTTGACACAGTGCGCAGTTGTCAAATAAACTCCTATTTACGTGAACATCAGAAAAGGTATTGCGACAAGTTATCATTAAGGCTGTCTCCCATAATGGGAAATATCATGGACTTGCCACAAAGAGAGGGACAGAGTGCATTCTGACATGCATCCCCAATATCAATGAACTAAAGTAAGATATGAAGTAACTTGTTTTAAAGATGTGGCTAATGGCATTGTTGATTTCACTATTAATTGTACTTCAATGACTTCCTGATTCAATTTGCTCTATGTGCAAAGAAAATTATTTTTTTTAGAGCTGTCAGCTTTACAACTTCTGTCTAGGATTTAAGTGTTAAGCGAGGTTTTTCCCTCATTCCATAATGCAATAAGAAAGGCTTTGCAGGACAAAGGAAGCCCTTGCTTATATTTATAAAAACCCAAATATATATCAGAGGGAGTGGTTAGCTGTGGAAGTCTTTGTTCAGACACATCTTTTTACTTCCAAACCAACCAAACTTCACATAAAAAAAGAAAAAACAAAACAAAAACAAACCTATTGAAAACCCAGGATTGTGGGGTCCTGCACTAGCATTTTTACAGCAAGACATTTTAAGAATTTAAGAGTTTATAGGATCTGCAATAAACACACACCTTATTCAAGAAGGAAGGTAAATGAAAAACAAAAAGATGAGCAGTCCAGAAAGTATCTTACTAATACAATAAGTGTTTTTTTAGAAAGTTTTACAAAGTTTATAACAGACTGGATAGTACAATAAGGAAATAATACCTCTGTAAGTAAATGCTTTTACAAACAGATGTTGAACAAGAATGAAATGAAGTTACTATTATTTATTACTTGTATTACCACAGTGCCTAGGATCAGGACCCGTTGTAGTTGGCACTGTACAAATGCCGAATAAAAAGACAGAACTGGACCCAAAGGGCTTGCAATTTAAATAGTCCCATCTGTTTCCAGCATGACCCCTTTTTACCTATCAGACTGCTGCACACATTACAGAGTAATTTTTAAGTCATCTTAGCTAAGAAAGTCCCTTGTAAACAAATCTTAAAACAAACCTTTTTTGGGACGGGGTTTCTGAGGTTCTTTAGCCACTGGAAATGAAGAAACCTGAAATGACAGAAAAGGACAGAGTCAAAATACATCAGGCAAGATTCCCAAAGGAATCTCTGGTTAAAAAAAATCCTAGGAGGACAGCTAATGGATCTCAAAGGATGAAGCAAAAATAACAGCGTCCTTGCTAAACAGAAATTATCCAATCAGATGCTAGTTATTTCTAACAGAAACCAACTTTTGATTTCTGCTAATTGTATAGACTGAGAAAATCCTCTTTTCTTTATAAGTACAGCTGCTTTCACTGTCAGCTAGAGACAGTTTTGTTAGTGTACCTGTATTTATTAAAAAACAGAAGTATAAGAACTGCATTTGGATCACAGAAATATTTTGCCATATAAAAAGCTCTTTAAAAATCATACTGGGAGTGTCTGCTCCACAAGATTTACAAATCTAATTACAACACTGGGTGTTTAGTGGTTCCAACGTAAGGAGAATGAAAGGTTTTCCTCAGTTATGGGTAGTCCCACCGAAATCACGAGGACTACACGTAAGAGCAAGGGTTTGGATTGGGCCTTTAATGAGACTAGCCAGCTCTAAGAAATGTTTGATTAACAGCAGATTGCAAAAGGCTCTTCGGGATAATCTGAAGATCATAGGCAGCATCTAGCACTTAAAAAGGTTGTTCTCATTCTCATATCCCAGCATACTGCCTTTTCTTGATTAGGAAACAAAATCTACGGTAATTACTCTGCTACGATCCAAAGGAAAGAATTAAGTGATCCTTCTTCTGTTTGTATCTGCCTTCTGATAAAGTAAAATTCTCAGCATCCCTGCCATCTTTAACTAACTTGTTTCCACACTGCGTTTGATGCAAAGCTCATTGTTAAACTGCTGAGTGGTAGCAAAGAGATCTTTTTACAGAGACAAAATAGGTATTAGGAATCTGTGGAGCAAGCCCATCTAGTTCAGGCTGCTGGCTCTGACTGTGGCAAAACCCTGCACACACAAGTGTTTAATTTGAAGGATGTCAGATATCTCAAGCAAAACTACAAGTACTGCCTGCAGCAGACCTCACATATAATGGATGTGCCTTGCTGACTGCCAAGAGGAAAGATCTATTTTAACAAAATAAGATCTTTTTGGTACTCTTAGATCTCAGTCTCTCTAGACAGTTAAGGAAGACAAGCACTTGGGTAGTTGAGGAAGGCACTCACAAAGGAAAAGCATTATTACATAGCTTTATAGCCGCAAAAAGCATGCTCCTTGGTGTTTTTACTCTGGAAACTGGCAAAAGGCAATGTGTTCCAGTTGAAGAGACCTGCTTCCTGAAAGCACTCAGGATCAGCCCTTCTGTCTTGCTTTTCACTCCTGTGAGATAATACTACAAGTGTGCTGGATTTTCTTCCCTGTCAAGCATTACCAAAAAAAAAAAAAAATTCAGTCTCTGCTATCCCACTAAAGACAATAAAGTTGCCCTTATAAAGACACATCTTGAAGCTCTTGGGGTTGGAGTGGAGTCACTAACAGCAGGATTTGACAGAGAACTTCATTGCTAGTGATTATATCCAAAAAGGAAAGAATCCAGTTTGACCTTATGTAAGTTTGAGGAGTTTGCATTAAAAAACCAAACACCTCTTTACTGGTAAACTGAGACAATTTGATCAGGAATCACTGATGCACAAATGTGCAAAGTCACCCTATCTTTTTTTCAGTCAGTTTTCAGAAATGAAATCACACAACAAGGACAAGTTATATTTCTTGAGATGTCTCTTCAGCTAACAGCATCCTCAATAAAAATATACCCAAATAGACTGAGTGGGTGAAAATAAAAATCACATCATTTGACAGTAAAGTTACCCAAACATTAGCATGGCCATTTGGTGACTGGGGATGCAGAGAATTTAAGTGTTTTATTATGCCACAACCAAACTGTTGAGATTTGCAGCTGATCCAGCCTTCTGACCCAAGAGCCAATCTGAATGATGGCATTTATTACCTGTAGCAACGCAGTTGTTTGGACCTTTGTGTTTAATTACCGTGTGTTTAATCTGTGCGGAGAGCAAAACATTATTGTTATAAAGGCATCAGGATATTTTATTTTTTTGTCTGAGGCAAAGAGTAAAAATTCTCCATTAAATACATATGAATACTGTAAGTGAATGATTGGCCATCATTAATTTTTTCCTCCTTTTCTATGAGCTTTTCATAGCTTTTATTGCCTGCAGTAAATGATACATGAGAAATATATAGCTAAACAGGCAACTCATTCATCAATGCACGAAAGTGTAACTACATTGCATTAAATTGCATTATGAAGCCCTGTTTATGCCACAACAAATAGCTGTGGGACAAAATCCTTTTTCCCTGAAGAAGTTATTTTTTTTAATCAGCACGGAGCACAGGGAACAGGGCATAATGTTAATAAAGTGTTTTCTGAAAACAAATAAAGACGAGGAAAAAAGCTCTTGTAATCAAATCAGAAGGCGCTGTTTTTGGCAAGAACTTCAACTGATGAAGAAAGGGCAAGTGAGTTCAACAACTTTGGTAGTTAAGTAAGTGTTCAACAGTTCATCCCACAAAAAGGTATCAGTAGTGCTTGACTACAACAGCTGCTGAAGTCTGCTGTCCATTGCATCACCAAGGGAAA